TATTTATTTATTTATTTATTTATTTATTTATTTATTTATTTATTTATTTATTTATATCCCCGCCTATCTGGTCATTGCAACAACTCTTTATCTTTCAAAATCATAGTCAGAAAAATGGGTATATTTGTTACCTCCTAATAACTGGGCATCAGAGAGAAAGCAGCAAAGTTTATCAGCCAGCACAAGTGTGTTAAATTAGAAAAACAGCTGAAAATACAATATTGCTAATGGAGGAAGCATCCTTCTAACATTTTTTCCACCCTCAGTCCTCCAACTTAAAAAGAAATACCAAATAAATGTTTTCAGGCAGGGCTGGTCTAGGCATTAGACACAGCAAGGCAATTGCCTCAGGTGGCAGATGGTAGAAAGTAGAGGAAGGTATGGAGCTGTAGGACAAGCAACTTCCCTTGCATCCCTTAAGCTAATCTGCTACCAGCAGATGGAGTGGAGCACTGGTTCTTAACCTTTGTTACCCAGATGTTTTTGGACTGCAACTCCCAGTTTCTGGGAGCTGCAGTTCAAAAACACCTGAGTAGCAAAGGTTAAGAACCACTGGAGTGGAGGATATCCTATCTCTATTGTTGAAGAAAGATTCAAATGGCTGTCCAATCAGCCTTTAGACATGGAATAGGGGATCTGTTGTCTTGTTTGTTCGCTTCAATACCAGATGGGAAAACAAAAAAAAAAAAATCCAAGAGATGGATTTGAGGAAAGCAAGCCATTCAACACACCAATCTTCCTTGATTTTGAAATGGAGGCACTTGAACAGTTGACCATTGCAGGACGAGGAAAAAATCCTACCTGAGTCCCTGGAAAGCCATGGATGTAGTTTTAGTAAGCCAGTAGATGCTGTTGGTTCTGATATCAGCAGGGTGGTAGATCTGCAGTGGGTTTTAGTTTGCAGGACCTGTCCAAGGTCCTGGTTTTGTATTCAAGGTTTTGAACCTATTTGCAGGACAGGGTAAAAGATCTGTATTCAAAGCTTGGATACTCCTTTAAGGTTCGGACTCAAACTCATTGCTAACTAGATACCAGCTTTCCCTTGCCATTGCTCTCAGCCTCCTTTCTGTGACAGCATTTCACCATGACCACTCCCCTGTGATGACTAGTAGCCTGTACTTGGTGGACACTAGAAATCTCAGGCAATATGGAGCCTTCCCTTTGCATATGTTCCTTCCTGGGAGCAACATCCTGCACCAAATCTGCTGCAAAATAGACCCTTTAGTTCTTCTATTCTTGCATTGGGCTCTTGGCAGAAAGAGGAGATGGCAAGACATGGAAGGTAAGGGAGGGGGGTGAACAGAGTTGGCATGTTTTATCTGAAGCCAGAGCTCTGCCGCTTAACAAAATAGGCAGCCAATGCTGGATGCTTCAAAAATGCATATTTTGCCTTTTTTTTTCTAAGCAAATTGGGTGGCTGGAATATAGCCTGGAGGATTAGCTGTCTCTCACTAAGGCCAGGGAATATGTGGCACATGACCTTGGCCCTGGTATAAAGAGAACACTTCGCTTCCACAAACATTTTGCTCTAGCTCAGCCTAGTGTCATCCGGGGGGCTTTTAGATGACACTCATCTGGATTTCTGTCCATGAGCAATTTGACTGGGACTCTGAAAGCTGGAGCCCAATAAGCTCTGGAGTGGTACAGTTTCCCCATTCCTGCCATAATGAAAAAAGACATCCATTTTGCCCAGCCTGGTGTCCTCTAGATCAGTGGCCTCCAACCTTGGGCCTCCAGATGTTCTTGGACTTCAACTCCCAGAAATCCTGGCCAGCAGAGGTGGCAGTGAAGGCTTCTGGGAGTTGTAGTCCAAGAACATCTGGAGCCCAAGGTTGGGGACCACTGCTCTAGATGGTTTTGACTATGATAAAATAAGCCCCTGGCCAGTGGCTTCTATGTCAGCAACATCCCATTCCTGGAGAATTCAGGGCCAGAACCTAAGACTGGAGGAAGAAGCTTGTGATGAGACAGAGGAAGGGCAGGGAAAGTGGAGGGATGGATTCTTCCCTCCAGGTTTTGTGTCATACCTGCCCTGGTGGTGCTCCAAATGGCCCAGTGGGCCCAAGGTTGGACTGCCAAAAAGCCAGGAGCAGGAGAAGGACTCTGGAGAGAGAACCAAGAGGTCAGAAAAACAGGGAGCGATGGTAAACACACAGGGAGTTCCTTTATATAGTGTCAAAGGTAAAGATCCACCCAGCTCAGTCTTGCCTGCCCTGACCAGCAAGTGGTCATCAAGGTTCTTCAGAGAAGAGTCTTGCTCAGCCCTACCTAGAAATGCAGAGGCCAACTCAGAGACCTTCTGTATATAGAGCAGATGCTGGACCACTCAGCTATGGTTTTCTCTAAATTCAGGCCATGAAAAATGACCTTATACCAGTGGTGGCTCATCCATTATGATACTCAAGCTGCTCCCCAGCCATTCCATTCTCATCGGCTTCTTTAGAAAGAAGGAAGGAGGGAGAAGAATCTTTGGCTTTCCCCACTGTGCCTTCCACTCTGTCCAACAAGAATGAGCCCTAGCCATCACCTCCTTGGATGGAGTTTAATCACTGATCCTTCTGTTGTCATACTCTGAGCGGCAGTTGCTTGTCAGGGTTTAAGAAAGGAGTCTTTCCCAGCTCTACAAGAGGATTGAACCCAGGTCCTTCCAGATCCCAAGTAAGTAGTCTCCCATTGCACTACGGCCCTTCCTCACTTGACTTGGTCAGCAAGGTTTAACTTTCAAAGGACTGTTGATATGACAAGCCATTGAGAAGATTAATGTGCTTCATCTGAAGCTCATATCGGCAACTCCATCAAAGGGGGAATAAAAGGGTTGGAGGAAAACAGGCAGCTGTTAAAAATTATAACTCTTAACAAGGGAAATCTTCCTGCACTTGTGGTCAGGCCTGATTCTAGTGGGCTTTCAAGGGACCCCCTCCTCTGGCTGCATGATTGCTCAGGGCCATGTATTTAGCATAATTCGCAGTGACCTCAGTGGAGGCGGTGTGGCACCCTTGAGGCTCTTAAATTCATGTAAGGTCAGCTGGAGCGTAATTTAATTTTGGCTGTGCTACTTATTTTTGTAAGGTTTTGAAGGTGCAGGGGAGGTAGAGGTGAAGAAAGAGATGGACACAAAAGGATTCAGCACCCCCAAAAGATGCCGAACCAAATGCCACAACATCCAACTCTCTCCCTCTCCCTGTGTGTGTGTGTGTGTGTGTGTGTTTCCTCTCATTCTTCTTCTTCAAAGCATCACCAAGGCCTAAAGCTTCAAAGGTACCCATAATCTCTGATGCGAGATCAACGGCTGCACTAGAAGGCAGCTGGCTTGCAATTGCACTTTGTACTGGAATCTGGTTACATATTAAGAGCGTCATTGCAGAGTCTTTTGCATTCCAGATGTCAGAATGGGTAAGATGCAACCTAGGGAAGGGATCACTAGCTTTGACCTAGAAGTGTGCAGTTGTGTGTTTTGGAGCTGCAGTTCTCTCTTGCTCCAAAATGCATGGAATCACATTGTCTTTCAAGATAGGCTTGTATGCAACTTCTAACATTTGTGGCAGAGAATCCAGCCTCCCCTGTGATGCTTTTCATTTGTGTGTTCCTGGTGCATACACACACAAACAGAGACCACTGTGTTTGTCTGCTTGTGGGCATACATATCCATACAATACCTCCGTGTGAGAAGATCAGTGGTAGAATCCTAGCCCACAAGGCAAGTATCTCAGTAAAGATAAATGAATACAAAATAGATAAGGCCTGAGCAGAAGGAAGATTAAAGCCAAATGGCCAGGCAGTGTGCAAGGAAATAAATGGTAAACAAAACACAACATTGTCAAAGTAGCAAAATCTTGGGAGTGCCTGTGATGGATACCAGAAGTAGGATAAGCTAGTACAATCAGAAAAAAAAAGCAAAGGCAGCTTACAATCAGGGATAAATCCACCCAGATATCCATTATGATTGGGGACATATCTCCTCCATCTGCATAACAAATGACTGAGCAAATAGATGACTAAAATGGGCTGAAACATCGTGGGGAAGCCTCCAATTAACTGTAGCGGCTGTTCATGCTTTGAAGCATTTAAGGCAGCTGTGCTGGAAGATCGTACCAGCCCACTTCTGTTGTTATGCTCTGGACAGGAAGAGAATCTCACAGTTTTGTGTTGATTTCTTGTTGTATGTCCCCAAGGAAGAAGGGATTAAGCAGAAATGATCCCGGCTTTGTCCTGTCTTGAGTAGGGGGTTGGACTCAAATGCCTTATAGTCTCCTCCCAACTCAATTATTCCATGATTCAATGAGCCGGTGGCAGAGTCCCTGTCCAAAGCATATGCTAGACGAAAATGTCGACACCCTTCAGCCTGTACTGCTGTATGGTATGGTGGCCCCTACCAATGCTTGGAGCCTCCTTTTAACATGACACTTTGCTTTTTGGTTTTTGAAGGTGTGAACCAGCACACGACCTTAAACATCTGGCTTCCAAGGATGCGTCAAAAATCCCCTGACCTGAACTTTGCCCAAATGAAGGCCATAGAGATGAGGGCTGACCCACTCTTTCAGAGACACTCAGACCCAATCTGTGACTGGACTCATGACAGTATGTGTGTGTTTCTGGTTCTCCATAGAGAAATGCAGATAACAAGCCTATATCATAATACATAGATGGAATAGTATGGACCCAACGGAAGGACCCTAGCAGCAGTCTGTGACCATGACAGTATGTGTGTGTTTCTCGTTCTCCATAGAGACCCCATTCCGGCCAAAGGGAAATGCAGATAACAAGCCTACGTCATAATACATAGATGGAATAGTATGGAACCAACGGAAGGACCCTAGCAGCAGTCTGTGGAGCTGGGTGCTCTGTTCTTATTTCCTCTTTCTTTTCTTTTCTTTTTGCACCCTTCAGGAGATACTGCTCTATACTTATCCTAAAGAAGTGGTTTTCCAAGAGTGGATAAAGGAGGAACTTTAAAAGGGTGATCAGTCTGGTCTCCTCCAGTTCCTTCTTAACAATGAAGGAATTGGGGGAGAAATGAAAGGGCAATGAAAGGAACCTCTTCTTCTCAACCTTGGCTACCCTTTCTATTCTTCTTTGTGAAATTAGTGGTACTATAGCTATAAGACTTTCCTGATTTCATCAATGACTTTGCAGCAGGAAATCAAGGATGGTTTCCTTTCTAAGATCAAGCATATATTTCCTGTTGTCTTTCCGAGTTTTTCTTTCCTACTGCTGATCATGATGCACGAATGCCAGATTTCTCAGGAAGAAAATGTAGGGCAGTCGTCCTGCCCTGTGGTTGACCAGTGGCTCTTTGCTCTGCCCTGCAAATTCACAAATATTATCACAGACACGGATCTGGTCTGGATTTGCACATTTGTTCAGAGGGCACACCCAACACATTTCCATTAAACCAGCCCCTGAAAATGGGATTAATATAATTGCTGAGGGCAGGGAGTGGGCATGGAAAGTCTAATTCAGACCAGTCTGCTATCGCTGAATGTGTCTTCACTTCTAGGAGTCAGCTTTAAATCTTTAGCTCCTGTGGTGTCTTCTCTTCTCTAAAACCACAGTTATCTCCGTGTCAGGGAAAGGAAATGCTTCCAGGTCATAAGGTGGATGATTGCTGAGTCCCAGCTTCTTTCCTTTCCGTCATCTAACCACCAGGAAGTTGTCATGCCTCAGGATTTGTAGCGTATTATGACCCTGTGGGTATCAGCAACCCAGCTACTTTCTCTTAACTAATTGCTTCCAACTGGGAGCCATTTAAGGCCTCGCTCGCTCGGGCTCAGCCAACTATAAATGAGTAATGAGGGGGTGGTGGAAGCCGTTTTACAAGGGAGGTGGGACATTTGGTTCATTCAGTGGGTCAAATAAGCAGGCTTTCCTTGGCTGAAATGACAGCTGGGGTGGGGGAAATGAATCGAGAGACTTCTGGGGAGGGGGCGTGTTGGGTGAAGGAAAGCTAAGTTTTGAAGAGGGATGTGGGGGGCTCTAGGAATTTGAGTAAAACCTTTGGAGAATCAGGGAGACGTTTGGGCCAGGCCTGTTGAAAAGAGGTCAAACGGATTAAAGGTTCTGCGAGTCTGAGAAAGTGTGTGTATTTGGCTCCCCTTGGGGAAAACCTTCTGGCAGGCCCATGTGAGCAAGAGCAATAAAGCACATTGCAGTGGTTTAACAGGATTGGAAAGGGCTGGTGTCGATTTGGGGGGAAAGATGATGAGACCAGCTGGATAGGGAGGGGAGGATCACTCTTCCCATGTGCTGAAATGCTATTTATACGTCCTTTTAAATGGATTTGTATCTGAGCATCTACAAAATGTCTTCCCCCATGAGGAGAATGCCAAGCCTGAGCTGCAAAGGGAAGGGAACAGAAGGTTTACAGCTTGCCTTCCCCATCTGCCTTTCAAAGCTGGTTCCTTCTGCCCCTGCTCTTCATTGTGCCTCGTGGGTTCTCATCGGTGCCCCTGCTAGTCAGCAATCTTGGAGAGTCAAAACCTGGGGCGAGCCCTATCATTAGGGTGAGTGAGGCATAGGTCTCTATCAGCAGAGGTCGGAGGCAGCCGGAAGGCATTGAAGAAGGAAGATGTGTTCCACAGGGTTTGATCTGTGCCCCTAAAACTTGCCCATTGCCTTCCAGCATGGCATAGAATGCTCTTGCTTCACCATTTTTGAAAACACCTTCCAGTTGCCTTTTATGCCACAAATGGGAAGGGGCATCGTCACGAAGAACCCTAGTACCAAGTGATCTTGGAGGACAAGGCAATTTGGACTGAAGTGGTGGTAACTTCCGAAGAACAGGAAATAACATCGGGAAAGATTCCTACACTGTGATTTGTAGGAGACTCGGGGCTTTGCTCTCACGGCACTCCCTACTGTAGTTATTCCCCCCCCCCAAAAAAAGAAAGAAACCAATAGAGGAGACTATCTGCACTATGCTAAAACTGACTAAAGCCTGATCATTGAAAGCTAACCCTGCCAACACAACACTTACTTTAATTTAGCTGGCACCTAAACAAACTGAGGAGAAACGTGTCACACAAGACAGGATGGCGTCCTCTTTGTGCTCTCACTGACTTTGTTATCGTTGGGTGCAAAAAAGAAAGAAACCAATAGAGAGAGGAGAATATCTGCACTATGCTAAAACTGATTAAAGCCTGATCATTGAAAGCTAACCCTGCCAACACAACACTTTAATTTACTTGGCACCTAAACAAACTGAGGGGAAGCTTGGCACACAAGACAGGATGGCGTCCTCTTTCTGCTCTCACTGACTTTGTTATCGTTGGGTGTGAAGATGTCAGATAATGAAGCCTAGTTCCTTTCCCTTTTTTAATCCTCTCTTGCCACTCCTATATCTGCCTTAAGCGGTATTCTAGCTTTCTGTTCTCCTTTTCCCACTTTCCAGTGCCATCTTTTCTAGTGTGGGATAGTCCAGGCTGCTCACTTTTGCAGGAAACATGTGGGCCTACACAATTAGCCCTGATTCTAAAGGCCGAAGTTGGGCCTTTAGCTGAAACTGGTGCACAGTCTTTTTAATGTTGAAGGATTGGGTCCTCTGTTCATTTTTGATACTCAAAAAGTACCTAGGCTAAGATTTTGCCTAAGATATATCCTTTGAAATAAACTCTGATTGGTGCATCCGGGGATTCTAATACACCCCATAGGCCCACAGTCTGTCTGCTTTTGGTCCACATTGATGGGTTCTGGCTCTATACTTTCCCAACCCCAGCTTGGAGATGTTGTGGGAACTGGTTGATTGAATCTGGGGAAGTCTTTATTCAAGGCATGGCCTCTTTCCTCATAATATTATCCTTCCACGTCTTTTGTCATGTATCGTTTCTCTTAGACTCCCAACTAGAGGAACAGATTCTGCCTCAATAAAATTGTAGAGCATCACCCTCCATCGGAAATACATGCTTTGACCATCATTCAGGTTATTGGGAAAACATAATTTAAGAATTCACATGAAAGTATAAAAAAGGAACGGCTGCAAAGTAAACACAATGCTGCTGTTGCTCTTTCAACCAGATGCAACAGCTTTTCCTGAGCTTTTGCAGATAAGGCCATCAGAAGGGCTCTCTATTTGTCTTTCATGAGGAAGGGATTTGTGAGTTGCACTGACTAATCTCTCTTCTCTGAACCTCCTCAGGGCAGAGAATGGGAACTTTCCACTGCTTCCGAAATGTTGCTTTTCTAGATTAAGAAATAACTGCTCATGGAATCCTGGCTTACAATAACAACAGCAGCTGATTACGGTAACATTATGTCCGAAGGGATCTCTTCTGCCCTTTCGTGACACACTCAGCAGTTTGGGAAAGCGAAGATCAGGTGCGTTTGTTGAGAGTCTCGCACAAAGCATCTAAAGAAGAAAGCTGGCAAGTTTGACTTCCTGCGAGGAAAAAAAAACAACTCTTTACAAAATTGATGCTGTGCAGATCTTTTTAAAAGTACAAGACTTGAAATGATGACCAAGAGGTTGTAATGTCCCTCGATATAGCTCTCTACGGATAGTTCCTCTAACCTAGAGCAGCATTCATAAAGGCCTCTTCACACATCACTTTTTTTATTTGTGTGTGAGTGAGTGTGACTGTTCAAGAACGGCCATTTGTTCCACCCAAAAGGCATAATGTGTGAAAATACCATTAGATAGAGAAAATTGGATTAGAAAAAGAATGTACCTGTTGGAGTAGGTGAATTCAGTAGCAAAACTGGCATTCTTGCTGCATAATGTGTGAATCTGCCCTAAATGAGTGAATAGGTTCTAGATGCTGAAGAGGGCATATGCTGCAGTATTGGAGCAACCTTATCTTCTGGATATCAGCCCTTTGAAACTCGGAATAATCACCTGATCATGCTTTCCCTGGGATTTGCTGAGGACCATTGTGTGGTGGGTGTTTATTTATATAAAAAAAGTACTTGCCATTTCATACTTTGTCACCGTATATCGTCCTGGTTGTGGTTTCAGACAAGGAGGAAGGCTGCAGGGGGAAAAGTTTCATTTAAACGTTATGGCAGTGGAAAAAAGGGATTCTAAACAGCTCAGCTTTGAGGAGCAGGAAAAGACAGGCACGCACATTTCTGGAATGGGTCCCTCAGATATTTCTGCAACTACCTTTCCAGATCCTTTATTACAGACCTTGAAAGTAAACAAAACAAAACTTTCCTTCGTAGTTTGGGTGTGATGGCATGAAAGACGTCGGGAAAAGGTCCCCCTCACAAAAACACTCCATGCATCCAAAACATAATGTGGGAGAGGAATTAATTTCTCATCCAGAGCAGCAAAAATGTTGGATAAGAGTCAGCGCTGCCCATGATGAAAGCTCATAACAAGTCAGGGGTTTCAAGTGTAGCTCAGAATCAAAACAGTGCAGGATCCAGTATACACATGGAGATGTACAGAGATTCCCTTTTGATGTGGTCTCCGTCTTTTCTTTCTGTTAAAGGGGTTCCGCTCCAAGTAGGGGAAAGGCGGGGAGGTGTTTCTGTACTAGTTGCAGGCCACTTTCTCTTTCAAGACACCCTTCAAAGTCCTCTTTCTCATTCCACCTTTTGAAGTCCCGCTCCGTCTAACCTTTCTTTACCTCAGCAGC